CACAGGGTAGATAGGGGCGGGCAACTTAAGACATTGGCTACCTAGAATGAGGTGACAATAAAGGCACGAAGTGACTGGCTTACAAGGTTTCAAAGAGGGAGTTTAAGAGTATGGAGGGAAAGAAAGAGTCCCTACTGAATAGATTTCACCTTGTCTAGATGGATCTGGTGAAGAGATAGGGATAAGATTCATATGATTCAATAGTGAATAATTTTTATCTTGACTAATTCCGACTGTCACAATTGTATAGGTAGAAGTTTTGTAACAAAAACAGGGGAGTGGTTAATCTTACAGTCCAGAAACAGGACCATAGAACCATCAAGGAAGACTCACACAAACAGAATGCAGGACCTTATCCAGAGAAGCAGCAGCGCCAGAGACAGAGGCAGAGATGGGGGAATGGAGAGAGCGAGCAGCTGAGGACTCTAGGACTCTAGATTCATTTAAAGAGAGGGATTAAGAGCTTGTGGCCAGTAGGCAGACTTACAGATGTGTCTTTTGGAGACGTAAATTATTATATATGCCTGAGTGGTGTTTTTTTTTTAAAAAAAGCTGAAGTGGATAAAGAGAAATACTGTTAACTGATGGTACATGGAGGGGATTATAACCATTGTAATGAAACAAGATGTATGATTTGTTGAATGTAAAACTGATGATCTGCCCTGTAAACTTTTACTCAGTCCACAATAAAAACCTTAAAAAAAAAAAAGAGGGAGTTCAGTTTAAGAGTGTGTGGGGGAAGAAAAGAGTCCCCACTGAATAGTTTTCATCTTGTCTAGATGGGTCTGATGAAAAGAGATGGGGTTAAGATTTGTATGACTCAATAGTGAATAATTGTTATCATGGCTAATTGTGACTGTCACAATTGTAAAGGTAGAAGTTTTGTAACAGAAACAGGGGAGAAGAGCACAAACAGAATGCAGGACCTTAACAAGAGAAGCAGCAATGCCAGAGATGGAGGCAGAGATGGGGTTATGGAGAGTGGGAACGGCTGATGACTCTAGATTTATTGGAATAGAAGGACTAAGAGCTGGTGGCCAGGAGGCTGACTTGCAGAAAGTGCCCTTTGGAGGTTAAATTATTATATATGCCTGAGTGGGTTTTTTTTGTATTTAAAAAAAGCTAAAGTGAATAGAGAAATACTGTTAACTGATGGTACATGGAGGGGATTATAATCACTGTAATGAAACATGGTGTATGATTTGTTGAATGTAAAACTAATGATCTGCCCTGTAAACTTTCATGCAATCCACAATAAAAACCTTAAAAAAAAAATAGTGAATAGAGGTAAATATTGTTTATTGATGGTACGAGGAGATGGCAATCATTTACGTAATGAAGCGAAACATATGATCTGCCAAATTGCAAAACTGATATTCTGCTCTGTAAACCTCTGAATTCACAATAAAAAGTTTAAAAAACAAGTGTTGTGTTTGTTTTTTTTGTTTTGTTTTGTTTTTGGTTGGCCTGCTGGCACATTCTTGTTGAAAACTGAAATACTATTGAAGTATATAGAAACATAAAACACTCTCTTCATTTCAAAAACTCCCCAGAGTTAACCCCTTTCAATAGTTTTCTACCTTCCAGGACTCTGGTAACACATATACAAGAATTTTGCAACAGTGATTTCATCATAATAAGATTAGTTACATCCACTGATTTGTATTGCAGATTGCTCAATTCTCCTTATACTGCTTACCTTTCTTCCCTTTGACAAATTTTGGACATTCGCATTTCTACCAGAGGCAACTGCAGATGGTTAGAGAATTACACAAAACATAACGCAGTCTTAATGCTTAACATAATGTAAGCGATACAGTCCAACAGGCTATTATTTATCCACATTTTATACAGAGGAGACCACAAGCATAGAGAGATGAAGCACCGCATCTACATTTTGTATTATAAAATGGTTTTGGCATATAAAGTCAAATTTGAGGAGAAAATATCCAAAATAATTGCAACTTGATGGTTGTATTTGCCTAACTGTTCTACTGTGGTTTCTAATTGAGGCCTGTGATATAATGGAAAGTACTAGATTGGATGTCAGGAAATGCAGATTGGGGTCTTAGATCTACTCAGGTACTTCACAGCATAAGCAAACGCAAGCTCATGGTCACATTCTCATGCCAAACAAGAAATCTGGTTGTTTTCTAACATAGCCCAGTTCAAAAACTATGATTCTATTCAGGAATCCTATCCATCCTATATCCCTGCCTGAGTTACCTTCTTTCATCAGCTTACTATGCAGCTCTGAACATTCAGTTCGCTATGCATCTATTTCCTCCTAATAAGGTACATTAGACAAAGGAGGACATTTAGTAGGACAAATCTATTTCCTCCTAATAAAGTACATTAGGACAAAGGAGGACATTTAGTAGGACAGAATTCCTGCCATAACACAGTTATGTTGTTACAATCATTTACAATCCAAATATGAAATGTATAAATAGTGACATTATTTAAATCATAGCAAAATAGCTGCTACAAGTTAACCAGGTAGTGAAATAAAAACCCACCTCCTCCACATACTGGTGAATCAGAGTTTTGGTAACTGGCATATTGGTGACATCCATCATTAGTTTTACTGCTTGTCCTTTTCGAATCTTCACAACACCTTTGAATACCTGCTGATTATTATAACAGGCAGCCAAAGTAGCAATGGCCATTACCTATAAATAGTAAGAAAACAGTACAATTTATTTCATTTCATAAAAAAAAGCAAGCAATGGAGCTGTAAGCAATCATCAACATCAAAAGGAGAAATGACAGACTGACAGAGCTAAGACATAACAAGCCAAGGAAAAAAATAAAAGCCATGAAGAAAGTATATTGAGACTTTTATCTTTCCTACTTCTCTCTCCCTTTGTCAAGAACAAACAGAATCAAATGGTCTTTTCAGTCAGTAGTTAAGACATGAAGTTTTATTTTATGGAAAAACGGGCAAATCCAACATTTTTCATGTCAGAACAATGAATAATTTGATTTGAAAAATTGATTTCAAATAATATCTGGAAAGAACTTTCATTTTTCTCTATTTTTCTTACAAGGAACACAATCATATACACTGGAAAAAATAACACGGGACAAAAAAGATCAGAAATGAAGAGAGAATATTTTTTATATACAAAGGTAAATTATTTCTACGAAAACTTAAAACAGATACATAAATTTTAGTTCTAGTCACCACTGAGGGGTGGTCATTAGAATAAGATCAAAACAGTTTCCAAATCAACTAGAAATTCTATGACTTTACTTATTTATTTTAAGTTAATAACTGAAATAACTGGTAAAAGGAATATAAGCTCCTAGAGTATCAAGGGGTAGGAGAGCCCTGGCGTGGTGCTGTAGGGTAAGCACTGGACTGCAAACTGCAAGGTTAGCAGTTCAAATCCATCAGCCGCTCTTAGAAACTATTCAGGGTCATTAGGAGTCAGAACCAACTCAACGGCACACTGCCCCACAACAAGACCTACAGTAAGGAACCCTGGTTAAGTGTTTGGCTGAAAACCAAATTATGGCTGGTTCAAATCTAAGGAAGAAACATATGGTCTGTCTCCATAAAAATGAGAGCCTTGGAAAGCCTGTGGGGCAGCTTTATTCTGTCCTATAGGATTACACGAGTTGGAATCAACATAGCAGCAACAGTGTATTTGTTTTGTTTTTGTTTGGTAGACCTATAGGATTAGGTATTTCTTCTCTGAGTCTAGGAAAAGTACAATTAGGTGCTTAATAAAACTTTTGAATAATAGCTTCACCCACGTTTCACTGAGTGCTCCCTGTAAATCAAGGCTGAAGTCTTAAGATTTGTAAGGAAAAAAAAACAACAAACTAATTTATAATAATCAGTGAGAGGAAAAGAAGTAATCTAAGATGGCCTAGAAAAGAGTCACCTGAATCTTAAGGCTAAGCTGAATGTAGAGGTTGGGAGACAAAGAGGTGTTGTGAAACACTGCCTGGCTGTCATCAACAGAAACTCAACTACAGTCATCTCTTGAAGGAATCTGATTTCTGAATTCAGCAAAGCAAAAGAATAAATGAATTCTAGCCACCGCCCTTTATCCCCTACTTTCCAATACTACAAGAACAGTTCCATTCCATACCTGTGGAATAGCACAGAACTTAAAGATACTTTGGTTTCTGAGTCTTGAAAGGTAGGTAATGACATCTGGTAGGTGCTGCAATGCATTAGTTATAAGTTCATTCAGGCACTGGACAGCTATGTCAATGTTCTCTGGTTTAGAGAAATCACCCAACTTCTTAACATATCTGCTCCAAACCTAGACAGGTAACAGGATTTAATTTAAAAAAAAAAAAAAAAAAAGTCAAAATGTAAGTAAAGGAAAAATGTATAAATATTAAAAAAATTTTTATAAACAAACAACTCAGCATTCTTAGCTGCTGAAATCTCTCACCAAGACCAAGTCCCTTTTAAGCTTCATGCAATGGCTGTGCACCAGTCAGGCTCTAATCAAAACCAAGAGTAAGTGTTTGTGGAAAGTGCCCCTCTGTGAAAATTTGTGCAGCATGCACAAGGGGAGCACAAGGGGCCTTCAAAGAGCTTACAGTAAAACAGAATTAAAAGCTATTGGAATTTTCCCACAGACTTTTTGATGCCCTCCAGTACTAAGCAATATCTTGATGACGTTAAGACTAAAGAGGCCTCCAATTACTCAGAAGGCATTAACTACTCAGAAGGCATTAACATAGACTACATTGGTATGACCAGATATATACAAAATCAGTTAACAATAATACTACAGGCTAAACCTTAAACATTTTCAAGATGGCTAGACCTCAAAATAATTAATGATTAACATGGTACTCCCAATTCTGGAAAGAAAGAAAAAATGCTGCTGAACAAGCTTGTCTGGGAAAATGACCTAGGCCTACAGTATATTACAACACTACCTCCCTGGAGTTTAGTGACTTGAAAGTAAAATAATACCCGCAACTCACACAGTGTACCTTGATCACCTAATTATTATTATTATTTCGGGATTTCTCAGTAGCTGGCGAATAGCTTACTTTTTTCCTTGGGTAATTCTTAAGTTTCCTAAAGAACAAGGCACATTGTTTGTAACTTTAAATTGCTCTTCAAAATAAATGAGTAAGCCTAAAAAAACTTGTAGTATATGAAGAGTCAGGTTTGTTATCCATCCTGAATTTGCACCTAAACTTACACAAATTGATGAAACTGGATTATTCTGCAAAACCTAGAGAAAACAGTTAATGAGCCACACATACCCATTACCTAGCTTCATAAATTACTGACATATGGACAATTTTGTTCCATCAATACTCATACCCCTGGTTTATTTTGTTGTTGTTTTTAAGTGCTATTGAATCGATTCCAACCCATAGCAACCTTGTATAGGGTTTCTAAGTAGCAGCTGGTGAGCTTGAACCACCGAACTTGCAGTTCAAACAACTTTGCAGTCTGACCCTATAACCCACAGTGCCATACCAGGACTCCAGATTATTTTGAAAGCCCTGATATTCTATGATTTGTACCCATAAACCTCTCAATATGAATTCCTAAAATGCAGAATCTTTCTTACAGACATATGTATGTGACTACTGAATCCTCAAAGTACAGCTAATGGAACCAAATAATTGATTTAAAAAAAGTTTTTTGTTTTTTTTTTTTATTGTTGAAATATACAGCAAAACATACACCAACTCAACAGTTTTTACATGCACCATTTAGAGACATTCCTTGAGCTATGCAACCACACTCACCTCCTTTTCTGACTTGTTCCTCCACCATTAACATAACCTTCACCACTGCCTAAGGTTCCTAAGTAATCTATCAAGTTGCGGTTGTTAATTCGATCCCATACAGTTCTTAAAAGAGAATAATGCTCAAGGCCGATATTTTTCACTAGTTAAATTAAACTGGGATATGTTTAATAAAGATTATCTCAGGGCAATGGTTTCTGGAGTTCACTCTACTTTCATGGCCTCAAGTCTGGAGTCCATAAGAATTTGAAATTTTGAGCAATTTTTTAACAGCAAACATAGAGAGGTTAATTCAGAGAAGAAAGACAAGTCTTTTCCATAAATGATACTGGAACAACTGGATGTCCAGAACCAAAAAAAGAAAAAACAAAATGAAATTGGATACCCACCTAATAGCATATACAAAAACTACCTCAAAATGGATCACAGATACAAGGAGCTAAAAGTGTAAAACTATTAGACGAACACATAGACTTAAATCTTCATGAGCTTATGATCAGGCAACTGTTTCTTATATATGACACAAAATACACAAGGAACAAAAGAAAAACAGATCAATTAGACTTAATTAAAATTTAAGTATTTTTGTGCTTAAGACACTTCAAGAAAAGGAAAAGATAACCCATGAAAATGGAAGAAAATATTTGTAAATCATTTACCTGATAAAGAGCTCACAGCTAGAGCTATGGCGTCCTGGTGTCACACCGTAGGATAAGAATTAGCTAACCATTAGGTTGGCAGTTCAAACCCACTAGTTGTTCCTTGGATAACCCTACACAGGGTCACTATAAGTCGTAACCGATTCGATAGCACTTTAACAACAACATAAGAACTATATATAAAAAAATCTCAACTATACCCTAAAAAGATAAATAACACAGTTACAATACATGGGGGGCGGCAAAGGATTTGAGTAAACATTTTCCAAAGCTATAAGAATTGCCAATGCATGGAAAGGCAATCTACATCACTTGTTGTTAAGTGCCATTGAGTTGGTTCCGACCCATAGTGACCCTGTACAGGGTTTCCGAGGCTGTAAATCTTAAGGGGAGTAGAAAGCTTCATCTTTCTCCCACAGAGCAGCTGGTAGTTTCGAACTGCTGACCTTAAGGTTCGTAACCACTACGCTTATATCAGTAACCACCACGAAAATATAATTCAAAATAATGAGATACCACTGGATGTTACAACCCTAGGCAAAAATAAACCAATCTACTGCCATAGAAGTTGATTCTGATTCAGTGATCCTATAAGAATTAGAATCACTCCCTAGGTGTTCCAAGACTATATTATCTTTATGGGAATAGTCTACATCTTTCTTCCTCAGAGTAGATGGTGATTTAAGTGATGACTTTACTGTTAGCAGCCCAAGGCTTAACCACAGCATCACCAGGGCTCCTTCATCACACATGCACTAGAATGGCTATAATCAAAAGATATAACAAGAGGGATGAGAAATACAGAAACTGGGACTCTGAAACACTGTTGATGTGACTGTGAAATGGTAGAGCCCCTTTTATGTAAGAGTTGCCATGTTGTTTTTAAGTGCCACCGAGATGGTTCTGACTCAGAGCAACATTATATAGGGTTTCTAAAGCGTGACAGGTGGGTTTGAAATACCTACCCTGCAGTTAGCAGTCCAGTGCTTACTGTACAGCGCTACACCAATTCTACCCCAGACAACTCATGCCCACACAAACACTTAAACCACAAACGTTCCTAGCAGCAGTATTCATAATAGCCCAAAAGTGGAAAGAGTTTAAATGCTCACCAACTGATGAATGATATATCCATACAATGGAATAAAATTAATTTTTTAAATGAAGTACTATAGAGAAATTGAATTGGTGTGTATGTTCTGTTGTACAAGGGGGTTTAAAAATGTTTGTGGGGAAATGCTATTATCTTTTAATTCCATTTTCCCACAAACTTTGTGAAGCCCCTCATATATATTACCACCAAAAAAAAAAAAAAGAGAGAGAGAGAGAAAGAGAAGGAAGCGAAGTACTGACACATACAGATGCTACAATCTGGATGGACCTTGAGAAAGTTATACTAAGCTTAAGAAACTAGTTTTTATTTATATGAAATGTCCAGTGTAGGCAAATCTATACAGACTGAAAGTACATTACTGGTCACCTAGTGCTGGAGGTGAGGAGTGAGGAGAAACTGAAAGTGACAGTTAATTAGTAGTCCAGTGCTTACCCACATTAGTCATCGATATAATCTCTAGAGTGTGGTGATCTACCTGTAGTGCTGCCACCCAGGACCTTGCCTTTTGTGTAAGTTCATCCTGTAATAAATCTTAGACTGCTTATTCAACCTGGAGTAATCTATCTCCTTTTGCAAATCTGTACCTGTCTTGGTCATATAATGGCTGCTTTCAGAGTTCCCCCAGAGCACTTCCATGCCCACAATTGCCACCTGACAAATGGGCAGTGGTTCCTCTATAGAAAGATGAAAACACTGCAAAGCTGACTGTTGTTACAGCTGCACAACTGTGAATATACTAAAAATCACTGAACTGTATAGATGTGAATCATGTCTCAGAGCAAAGCTGTTTAAATAACACATCACCACTTCTTTCATCAAAAGGCATTATAACGTCAGGATTTTGCTCGTTTTTAAATTAGATTCACACACACTTGCGGCGTCTTCATCCATTACAGTTTTTATTCTTTCTGATGCTTTATCTGGCAGTGACCCCACTGCCATAGGTGAACTCTGATTCACAGCAATCCTATTGGACAGAGCAGAACTAACCGCTCACAGTGCTTTAAGTGCAATTCTTTTCTTATTAGGAGTAAGCCTGGGCATCTTTTCAGATATTTAAGGATGTCTTGTAAATTCACTTTCTTTTCTCTCTCAATTTTTCTATAGGGCAGTGGTCTTTTTCTTCTCAACTTTTAAAGTTCTTTTTCATATTACGAATATTAACCATTTATCTGTAACACTAGTTGCAAATATTTGATCTGCAATATTTACCTGCAACACGAGTTGCAAATATGTGGTTTTTCACTTTAAAAGCACTTGATTTTAAGGTACAACTATTGGTCTCTCCCTGTCCAGAGGAAAGAAGAGTGAAGAAAATGAAGACACATGAAACAATTAGTTCACTGGACTAGTGGACCATGCAAACATCAGTCCCCAGGACCCTGAGACCAGAAGAACTCAATAGTGGTTGGCCACACCACCAATTACTGTGTAAAGGATCATTTTAGAAGACCCTGAATGAAACAAAAAAAAATTTGAAACAAAACTAAAAATAAAAAAGACTGGTTAACTAGAAATTGGTGGAATCTTTGAGGATATAGCTCTAAGTTATCCATCAGGTGTGGAAATGAACTCACACCTACCGTAATTCAATTTCATTCTTCAATTTCAGCCAAGCAATAGACTGGTCTATAAGAGGAGCACTAGGAGGTACACACACCTTAGAATAATTACCCATTTGAGATTAAAGAGTAGCATTTACCCAAGGACAAAATTCAAAAGGAAAGAAGGAATAAAATCAGAAAATGAAAGTGAGATAAGTGAGGTTACATTGTGAGGATTGCAACTGACAACATAAAACAAAATGTGTATGAATTGTTGAGTGGAAAACTGATTTGCTCTGTAAAACTTCACTCAATTCATAATAAAAAGTTTTAAAAAAGAAAAAAAAAAGGACTTGATTTTAGGAAACTTTGTGGAAAGCAATAGTCATAGAATTTTCTCATTTTCCTTTTGAATAAAAATAAATGTCACAGTTTTCCTTTCCTTGTTCAATTTTTAATTAAATCAAAGATTAACTGTATTTTTTTCCTATCTAGCATCAAGTTCTCCTTCTAGTTATACAACCCTTCTTTCATGGAGGGATTTCATGTGTTTTGAGTACACACAATCCAGGTCTGGCTAATCAGAGCACTCATTTCCTTGACAATAGCAACTGATTTGCCAATGGGCACATGAACAAAGGGTACCAATCAGACATTCCTGAGGACATTTCTGGTAAGCTAGAGCATTATGAGTATCATAGGTTGTTATATCCACCACTAAGAGAAAATCTGCCCAGGAAAAAAAGGAACAAATTAAGGTAGTTTGGCTTGTGTTTCTGTTACCTGCAACCAAAAGGGTTTAATTATTTGTTTTCAGAAAGTGTCCAAAATGATTTTCCCCAAATCCCCGAAATCTATTATTACCTCTTGAGGCCAAAACTCTCTTCCTTCTTTCTGGTCTTCCAGATAATCACGTATGATGTTTGTTTTCTGCAGAAACAGGCCCATAGAGTTGGAGAGCTTTGTATCTTCACCAACTATGGGGTCTTCTAGCTCTGAAGCCGAGAACAAACGGGAAAGCCCAATTCCCACCAGGCCAGCAACATAGTGGCAGTACTGCAAAAGATTATTTTTAGTTTACTTTAATAATGATTATTTAACTAAAATGGAAACACCGGAGATCATTACCATGGAGTTGATGCGACTCATAGCGACCCTGCACAGGGTTTCTGAGGCTGTGAATCTTTATGCAGCCCGATTCGTAACCACTACGCCTGATCCCATTTTTCATGCAGATTAAAAACATCAATAAAGGACACACACGACGGATTTTAACAACAGTGCTCTCTGGCTGATGTAAAGTTTACTTGCATTTTCTAAATTTCTAAAAAAGTACATACACAACTTTTATTATAATGTTAATATCACTTTTATGATATTTCTTTTTAAAAGCTTACTGAAAAATAAACTAGTAAAAACTTTCAATACCCAAAACTGAAGGTAGAGGAAATAAGGGGCGATAAAACATTCCAATTCATTGAAACTTAAACAATTCTAAGCGTAATTTAACCCTTCTTTGACCAACTGGACAACATTTCTGGAACTCTGTAAATTTAATTCTCACAAACAGCCTATGAGGAAAGTTTTAACATCTTTTAATAGGATACTGCTGCAGCATACCATCAAGTTGGTTCTGACTCATAGGTTTCCAAGACTGTAAATCTTTACAGGAGTAGAAAGCCTCATCTCTATCCTGTGAACAGGCTGATGGATTTGAACTGCCGATCTTGCCGTTTGCAGCCTAACACATAACCCACTACACTACCGGGTCTCCTATAATGGTGTACTAACATCCTATCATTATCTCCAGTATACAGATGAGGAAATTGAAGTACAGGGAGACCAATGAACTTGTCCTAGATCACTTACCTGGGAAGTTGTAGGATCCCTATCAAAACCAGTAGTTTGCATCATGAATTCAGGCTTTAACAACTGTACTAAAGTTGCCTCTGTCTCTCAATGGAGTAAAAGCAATAAATGTAGTTCTAATTGTCAAAGCAAATTTTCTCCCTCAAAAAAACAAGACTCCAAAAAGAGTCTTGGTATGATGCTGTAGGATAAATACGGGACTGCTAACTGCAAGGTCAGTGGTTCATACTCATCAGTCACTCCTTGGAAACCCTACATAAGGTCACTATGAGTCAGAACCCACTTGACGACACCGAACAACAATTCTCCAAAGATACTCTCTTCTGAACAGGATATGCCAAGACACCTTAAATCCAATCCCCTTATAATACAAACATCCATTAGACAATTTTAGAAGAGTAGCTAAAAGCCATACAATTTGAAAGAGACAATGTTAAGTGCTGTTGAGTCAGTTCCAACTCATAGCAACTCTGCATATAGGGCTTCCAAGAGCGGCTAATAGGTTTGAACTGCTAACCTTATAGTTAAAGGTCCAGTGCTTATCCTAAGAGCCACACCGGGGCCAGGAAAAGACATTAAGAAGGGCAAAAAAGTTAGGCAAAGACCAAAGATAAAAGTATAGCATCTGGCTGAAACACGATGTGAGGTAAAATAGGGAAAGGAATGGTAAATACATGCTGAAATTAGGTAAAGAGAAATTAGCTGTGTATACCTACAGAAAAATCTAAATGACTAGAATTGAAAAACACTAGAATATCCATAAAACTGTCCAAGGGGAATGGAAACTACATAATTCACCTTCAGTCAAAGTTTCAGAAATAAAGTTATATTCCTATTATCTGAATAATATTCTCTGTAAACATGTAATTTTACAACTTAACTGACACTTGTTGTTAATAAACAGATGGGGATCATCATTTATATCAATTAAGTACTGAGTCAGTCTACAAGTAATCTTGTGCTAAGAGGATCTCACCTATACAGGTGCAGTGAACTACTTACGTCTATGTCTCTCTTGCCATAGTCTTAGTAACTCCCACCAAAGTCAAAGAAGGTAGGACAGAGTGAGATCTGAATGGAGAGGGTAAGGACTAAGAATCACCGAAGAGCAAAGATAAGGGTCCATGACGAAGGGTCCATGACAGTGGCTGTGGGGGCTGGCAGCTCCTTGGATCCACCTGGGCGGCTCTGACCATGGGCCCCACCCTGGGCCTGGAGCTGCCCTTGACCTGCCAGGAGATCCTGTGGTCACTGCCTGCCTATTTGCTAGTGACTGCTTTACCCTAAACACCGTGGGCCATCACGCGGCCATGTTTTCAGGAGGCCCAGGCCCATCTGGCCCTAAAGGGCCTGTACTTCTAAAACCCTCCCCCACCATTCCTGTCTGGATGCTGTCCCTCTCCACCCCCATTAAAGAGCAATTTCACTTTTGATGTTGTTCAGTTTGAATATGGTGTCTATGATTAAGGATGTGCACCTGCAGTGGAGAAGTGAGAGGGTCCAGCTTCCTGAGACAATTTATACCCATGGATCTCAGCAGATGGAATACACAGGAATCAACTGACTACATAGGTGAGGAGAAATGGTAGAAAAGCTCAGTATCATCAGTCACATCTGACTTTGACTAATGATATGTATTGATTTTTTTTTTTTAAGTTTTATTCTGAGGTTTACATGGGAGAACATCAGCCCTGCACTCATCCTATTGCATTTCGTTTCACTGCAATGATTATAATCCCCTCCATGCATCATCAAACAACCAAAGGGTACATCACACAGGCCGGCCCCCCACCACCAGCACACAGCCCTTCTCCCTCCCTGAGTCCAGTGTCCCTAGCAGCTCCATCTGTCCACATCATCATCTCTGTCTCCATCCCTGGCGTCACTGCCTCTCTGGGTAGGGTCCTGCTCTCCATTCTTCTCACTTGATGGTCCCAAGGACCTCCACTCCTGGGCTGCAAAATCAACCACTCTCCTCCTTTAGTCAAAAAACATCTACCCCTGTATTTCCTACCCTCACAGTTAGTCCTGATGGCAATTATTCACTATTGTACCACAAGAGTCTTATCCCCATTTCCTTTCACCAGCCCGGTCCCAACAGATTGGAAATCATTCAGTGGTGATTCTACCTTCCCCTGCCCCATCTGCAACGAGGCTCCCTCTTGAAAGCATATAAGCCAGTCACTTCTTGCCTTTATAGACCGCCCCCATTTTGGGTAGCCAATGTCTAAGTTGCCTATCCCTGTCAACCCTGTGTACTGAGGAGGTGGAAGTGATCCTCGCCATAAAGATATGTTCCCTTTTTTGAGCTGCTACATCCATAAGTATAGGTAAACATCAAATTACAGCTGTTAACTCTTTTTTTTTTTTTTTTTCCCTCTTCTTTCTTCTTCTAGTCGAGTTCTGATTATCCAACCTTCGAAGCCAGGTCAAATGGGTACTATCTGCAAGTATGGGTGTGTTCTTGTACATCTCCCCTAATTTCACACCAGCTGGATGCTTCGCTCTCTGCTCTAGTCCTCTGTTGCCATGCCACTGCCTCTGGGCCCAGAAGTCCCTGGGTCTTGCCATATTGCTGGCCATCCAGGTCTCCACCCGGGTTCAAAGGAGTATACTACATGTGGTTGGGTTTAGCACACAATTTCAATGCTGTTTTTTCCCCCTATTCCCCTTATCCATGACCAACATGGTCACCAACCAGACCACATGCCTGCTTGTGTATTCCCCTTGAGTCTCAGTCTTGGAAGGGGGTTTGCTCTAAGGAGTCCCGACCACTTGCCTTGATGGCTCCCGGGCGATCAGTTTACTTGTTCTTATAGTAATCAATCAAACTACCTGATATGTATTTATTTTTGCACACATCCAAAATGAAGAGCCAAAATCAGTACATTAACACATCTCAAACCATTAGAAAAAAACCAGCAAAGATCCAAAACACATTAAATGGGAAAGAGATTGTCTCTTCAACAGATGGTGCTGGCAAAATGAAACAAGACCTCCTCCTCTCACACCATATACAAATAAATAAATATGTATGTGTGTGTGTGTGTGTGTGTGTGTATGCATGTGTGGTAGCTGTGTGCCGTGGAGTCAGTTCCGACTCATAGCAACCCTGTACAGGGTTTCCGAGGCTGTAAATCTTTACAGGAGCAGAATGCCTCATCTTTCTGCCACGGAGCAGCTGGTAGTTTCGAACTACTGACCTTTGTAGTTCGCAGCCTGATTCGTAGCCACTTCGCTACCAGAGCTCCTTTGTGAATATATATATGTGTGTGTGTGTGTGTGTGTGTGTGTGTGTGTGTGTGTGTGTGTATGTGTGTGTAGCTCCTTTGTGAATATATATGTGTGTGTAGTGTGTGTATATGTGTATATATATACACATATACACACACACATATATACACATACATACATACACACACAGGTGAAATGCACTGGACTGAAAACCACAAGGTTGGCAGTTCAAACCCATCAGTTGCTCCTCAGAAATCCTATAAAGGGTTGCTAGGAGTTGGAAATGACTCAATGGCACTTAGTAACAATAACAACAAATATATATATTTAAGAGTTTGAAAGAGGATATTTGTACATGGCTGTTTACCTTTCCTATAAACACAACTATGTGAACATGGTGGAGCACACAATAGGCAAAATGATGAAAACTTCTTGTTGGTGTTATTAGGTGCCATTGAGTCGGTACCGACCCATAGCGACCCTATGCACAGCAGAACTAAACACTGCCCAATCCTGGGCCAACCTCACTATTGTTGCCATGCTTGAGTCCATCAATGCTGCCACTTGGCCAATCCATCTCGTTGGGGGTCTTCCTCCTTTTCTCTGACCTTCCACCTTACCAAACATGGTATCCTTCGCCAGCAACTGCTCCCTCCTGACAACATGTCCAAAGTATGAGAGACGTAGTTTGGTCATCTTGGACTCTAAGGAGCACTCTGGTTGCACTTCTTCCAAAACGGATCTACTGGTTCTTTTTGCAGCCCATGGCACTTTCAATATTCTCTCCTCCAACACCATAACTCAAAGGCATCAATTCTTCTACATTCTTCCTTATTCACTGTCCAGCTTTTGCATACATATGACGTTACTGAAAATACCATGGCTTGGATCAGGCACACCTTAGTCCTCAAACTGACATCTTTGCTCTTCAACACTTTAAAAAGGTCTTGTGCAGCAGATTTGCTTAATGCAATACGTCGTTTGACCTCTTGACTGCTGCTTCTATTCTAAGAAAACTTCTTAGATATGATCAAACATCTTAAGGCAGTGAGTGGTTGGGCCTGTGGGCTCAGGACCATACTCTCAGGTGATACCATGGTCAACTGGCATAACACAGTCCACAAAGACAATGTCCTACATCCTACTTTGTAAGCAGCACTGGGATCTTAGATAAGCCGCCATCTAGGGTTCAGCTAAGGAGCTCTGGAAGTGTAGTGGTTACAAATCAGGCTGCAAACCTCAAGGTCGGCAGTTTGAAACTACCAGCCGTTCCACAGGAGAAAGATGAGACTTTCTGCTCCCATAAAGGTTTACAGCCTTGGAAACCCTGTACAGGGTCACTATGAGTCGGAACCGACTCCACGGCACATGACAACAACAAGGTTCAGCTACTGATCTCTACATTTGCAGAAGAACGAAGAGTGATAAGAACTGAAGATGTTTGGAATCAATTAGTCCAATGGACTAATGGAACATATGAACATCAGTCTCCATGACTCTGAGACCAGAAGAACTAGATGGTGACCGGAAACACATTAGAGGGTGAAATGTATCACATTAGAAGGTCCCAGATAGAGTGGCAGAAAATGTGAAACAAAACTCAGTATTATTTAAAAAAAAAAAACAAACAGGCTTACTTGGTCAGGAAGAGACAGGAGGAAACTGAGACTATGGCCTTCGAATACTCATCAGATGTGGAAAGAAATTCACCCCCATGGCCCATGACTTTTCAGTCAAGCAATAGACAAGTATATGGGAAGTGGGGATGATAACATTAGTAAGGTATGCTCACCATGGAAAGGTTCATCATCTAAATCCAAAAGGGCAACAACACTTACATAAGGACAAAGTTGAGAAGGGATAGAAAGGTAGGTGGAATAGAAATAGGAACCACAGGGAAAAGTGGAATAACTTCATGGCTGCCAAAAGAACAAACAAATCTGTACTGGAAGAAGCACAGCCAGAATGCTCCTTAGAAGCCAAGGATGGTGAGACTTTGTCTCTCATACTTCAGACATGTTAATCGGAGGGACCAGTCCCTGGAGAAAGACATCGTGCTTGGTAAAGTGTCAGCCAAAAAGAGGAATACCACCAACTACAGGAATATTACACTGTAGCAGCAACAAGGGGCTCAAACGTTAACAACAGTGAGGATGGCACAGACTGGGCAGTGTTTCATTCTATTGTGCATCAGGCTGCTATGAGTCGGAAGTGACTCGATGGCACCTAACAACAACAACATCCCTAATAAATCCATTGACTAGATTAGTTCTGTGTGCTCACTTCAAGGAATCCAGTGAGTAAAAAGCACTGTGGGAGAAACGGTTGGTGCCAACTTTTTTAGAGCAAGCGTACCTTGTTTTACTGCATTTTACTTTACTGCACTTTATAGAAATTGCTTTTACAAATTGAAGGTTTGTGACAGTTTTCAGGCAAGTTTATCAGTGCCACTTTTTCCTAAAGCATGTGCTCATTCATGTCTTGTTACATTTTAATAACTCTTACAATATTTCGCTGTTTCACTTAATTGACTGCCATCAACTTAATTCGGATTCATATCAACCCTGTATAGGGGGTTTCTGAAGCTGTAAAACCTTTATGGGAGCAGACAGTCTCATCTTCTCCTGAGGAGCAGTTTGTGGGTTTAAACTGTTACCTTGTCATTAGTAGTCACACACCTGACACAGAGTGCCACCAGGGCTCCTTCGATAGACTACAATATAGTGTAAATGTAATTTACATATGCACTGGTAAACCAAAAAATTCCTATGATTTGTTTTATTGCAGTATCTGATTGTGGCTGTCTAGAACCAAACTGTCACTATTTCTGGCAATGGAAAAGAAAGTAACAAAGGAAAAAAACAAACATTATTTTTAAAGTATGAAAACTGCTAGTATCTTTGTATTACATGAATTAATCACTCATTTATCTAAAATTTCCCAGCAAGTTAGAGATCATTTATTTAAGTTTTATATCTACACTGCTGAGACATGTTTTATTATGAATGAATTCAAAAGTAAGTTCTGTAGGGCATGGATACTTTCATCAGTACAGTATTAGAAAATAGTAAGCCCCTATATTAAGTGCTTAAGGTGAGACATTCAAATCAAACATTCAGTTGCAAAACCAGAAACCCTGGAAGTGATGGACAACGTTTTACTAGTTCTGTACTTCACAATGAGTGCTATCGGCTCTTATCTTATGAACCATGCATTGAAAATGTCACAAAGAGACACTCACCTTATCCCACTCCTGTTCAGTAGTCACGTGCTTCTCTAAAAACTCTGCCATTCCATATCCCATCTTCCGGCAAATGTCAACAATCACCGTTTGATATTTCTCAGCCAGATTTCTAAATTCAAGGGAGATCTGAAAGAGAGGCCATAAAAATAGAAAACATAAAATACATACTTACACTGTGAGCCTACATGGTACCTATTAGTCACAAAGCAAAGCAATGGTAGAACTCATTAACCACAATTTCCAAATGATTCATCTGGGAACGTTAGCATCTAGGTTATGTTGTCTACATACCTGAATGTGAAACTCAACAACTTTTATAAATACTAAAGTATGGTGCGATAGGGTAAGCACTGGACTGCTAGCCATAAAGTCGGTGGTTCAAACCCACCAGACACTCCTCAGAAACCCTATACAAATTAGCTATGAGTGGGAATCAACTTGACAGTACTTAACAACAACAACTGTAAAATTTCTAGACTCAAAGGAAAATTCACAGCCTCACTATAGACTCAGTTTTCCAATACATAATGAATAAAGCTTAGTATTATAAGGGTAAGAATTTTAGGGAGGAACAATACCTCATTCAAATAAACCTAAGAATAGTAAAGATTCAATCATACAAACATTTGCTGAACCCTTTGGTATAACAGGCACTGCTCTACGCACCAGGGACATAGAACATCGAAACAAACAGAACCTCATGCCCTTGGGAAGCTTAAACAAGGTAAGTCAAAAAGTACTGTCACAAAACCACAGAAACTTTTATTAAACAAAAATACCAAAATGTGAGGCTATTGTTTCTCCACATATCCTAACTGGGTCTACCCACTTCTGAAGGAGGCACCCTTTCCCTGGAGTCCTGGTGGGGTACTTCAGAACAGACACTGAACTGCTAAATGAGAGGATGGCAGCTCAAACCCACCAGCCACTCCTCAGGAACCCTACACTGAGTCTCTGAGTCAGAACTGACTCAATGGCACTTAACAACAACAACCGTTCCCTGAGGAATTCTGCACCCTTTGATTTATACCACTTTCAAAACAGCATTTTGGCAATTCTCCAGGGACTTAAATCATGTTCTTTGAATTTAGGGAACAAAAAGAAGTATGAAGGGCAATATCAGGGCTCTAGAGTAGATGAGCTAAGATTCCTCATAGGACAACCAAAATTCTCATAGGACAGCCTTTGACTACCCACAAAGAATGAGCAGGTACATTGTCATGATAGGGGGGAAAAAATCTCCTGCATGACTTTCCTGGCCAACATAGTTTTCAACCTTCTTAAAACTTCTTTAAATCTATCAAGATTATCCATTTGGAATCCCAAAACCCAGTAGCCATAACCTTTTGAGCTGACCTCTCTGCCTTGAATTTAACTAGCTCAGTAGATGCTCTTGGAAGTCACTGATTGATCAGACAGTTAATTTGAATGCACACTACTAAGACTAAGAAAGGTATATTATTGAGAGAACTTGTCTGCAGCTATAGATGCTCTTGGAAGTCACTGATTGATCAGACAGTTAATTTGAATGCACACTACTAAGACTAAGAAAGGTATATTACTGAGAGAACTTGTCTGCAGCTACCCACCAATTGCAGAGACATGTTTAAACAGTATGAACTGGAACTCTAGTTCAATACTTTCTCACTTAACTATTATATTCTATTGAGACCAGCAAGCCATTTTGTATCATCAGTTCCTACTTAGGTAGAACACAAAAAAGATACAATATTTCCCCTACTATAGACTACACTTTATTAATTTAACAACTTATAACTCAAAATGTTGTTGTTATTAAGTGCCATCAAGTCGGTTCCGACCCATAGCAACCCTGTACAGGGTTTCCGAGGCTGTAAATCTTTACGGGAGCAGAAAGCCTCATCTTTCTCACACGGAGTGGCTGGTAGTTTCGAACTGCTGACCTTTAGGTTTGCAGCCCGATTCATAACCACTACGATACCAGAGCTCCTCATAGCTAGCTCAATATGAAGCATGCAACCCAGTATTTTTTCATAGCCTAAACTGGAATTCAGGAAAGTAATTTTACTGCTTTGGTTTTTTTTTGTTTTGTTTTTTCAATTTACTGAGACTACACAAACAATTTAGGTTCAAAGAAGTGTTTATAGGTTATCAAAATATAACATGAAAATACCAAAAAAAACCTTGTAAAGAAAATGCTAAAAAAATATCAATGGTACTAACACATAATATTGAAAAGAATGAACAGATTGTTAAAAACCAAAATGTAACATTTAATTGGTCTACGCTTACAGAAAAAAATTAGAAAAACTTTCTCAGGAAATACCTAAATTAAGGACCTGAGGAAAAACAAGTTAGAAGCAGAGCACCATAGGGATTTGGAAGCCTGAACTATTTTAGGATTACTGTTATGATCACCAACTGCAAAACCCAAAGAAAACCATAAAAATCAGTCTCGTTTTTTCTTAATTCTTCAATTGACAAGCTATTCCAACTCAAAACTAATTTAGTGGAACCAAACAAACTAAGATCTGTGGTAGAATTGCTAATATGTTTCAATCCAATCCAACCTACTAGCAACTCTATGCAAGGTTATTTGAATCTCTGAATCATCCTAAAACCCTATTTCTTCAACAGATCTTTGGCGAGACCAATTCTAGTCACAAGAGACGAAAGGCCAACCAAGGTTGAGGAGAAGGAGGTTGGACTCTTAGAAAAACAAATAATCCAAATTAACACTTTCACCTTTGGTGTTATTGTTAAAATGACCTTGAGTAGATTCCAACTCAAAATAACACCATATAGGGTTTCCAAGGAGCAGCTGATAAATTTGAAGTGCTTATTGAACAGTACCACACTAGGATTCTGATTTATACCTTTACCTATATTAAAAGTGTTTAAGGTTTTGTTTGGGGTTTTTTGGGGGGGGTTTTAAAGAGACTGTAAAGTATACCACTGATAATGAAAGTCTCAAGGCAGAGCTTCTGTACTGGAATACACGTTAGGCTACTTCCTGGGTGATTTAGGCAAGATACTTCTCTTTCGTCGCCTGTTTCCTTCTCTATTCAACATGTGGATAACAAACAGCCTTTCTATACTGGGTGGTTTTCCTATTAAAACCTTATATGTAAAATAATACAAACTCAAAAAAGCCAAACTCATGGCCATGAATTTGAATCCAACTCAGAGACTCTGTATAGGGGTTCTGAGGCTATAATTTATTTATTAGGAGCAGAAACTCATTTCTTCCATTGAGAAAATAATACAAGTGTAAATTAATATGTGAAATATCCAAAAGTTCTGCCCTATTTTTGGTATTAGTCACTAATTCATAGTAAATTGCTGAACAAATTCTTGCTATTATAATTTTAAAACAACCCTGTGCTTTATCTAAAACTATGTCAAGAGGTAGACCTAGTTTTCCACTAGTACCCAGCAGAAAGTAAAATAACATTATTTGTAACTCATAATATGCAATGTCATTTATAGAAGGCTTTAAATGATATCAATTCATAATTATGTATAAAACACCAGGTTCTAACTCAGCACACAGACTGTACACCTATGGATAGTTCATTTGATTACAATACTGTATCTATCCTTATCCATTAGATTCTGAGGGGCCTGGGACCAGAGTACAAATGGAAGCCTGCATACCATATGTCTAAAAAATATTAAGTCCAGAAACAGAGGACCCTAAGATCATCAAGTGAGAAGAGCACAAACAGAATGTGCAACCTTATCCAGA